ACTACTTTTCTCCTGAGTTCTTGTGTGTATGCGTGTATGTTAGGGTGTATTTGTATGTTTGAATCCCAAATAAATTACTGTTCTTTGGAAATCTTTGTCTCTATCGGTCCATTCCCTAGCCACCTCCATAAACATAGGACAAAAGATCCCATAGAAGCCTTGGACTTTAGTAATTCCCCAGGTTCAAGGTCTTCATTATACATGGCAGTCTGGAGAGTCAGATTAGAAATAAACACCTCATTTCCTCAAAGCAGTGTTTCCAAACATTCACTCATTGGAAAGAGTAAGAAAAAAGCAGATTGGCACAATAGGATCCTTATCCCATAGGGAGGATATTCTCTGGCTAAGATTACAATGGAATACGTTGCTGGGGAAATACAACACAGGAACTGACACTTAATTCTGTGCTCTGTTCTTGTTTTAATCACCAAAGACTCAAGGCAAAACAAGGATAGAAATAGAACCTGCTAACTTCTTCACACCAACCACATCAGCTATGTTTCAATTAAAGGTTACTGCTTTAGAAGAGCTAACCTGCTCTTTGTACAAGTATTTCTAAAAAGAAAAACCTCATTTTTCCACCAGATGTAAGGTTCTCCCTAAATCTCCACTGCCACCATATGTGAAGGCAAATCTCACTGCTACCACCAAGAGTGAAGACTTCCATCTCTGCTATCAATGTAAGGCCCTCCTTCTTTAACTGTCATGGCTTCATCCTATGGAATTCTGAGATTTGTAGTTTATCGTGGAATCAGAGCTCTCTAACAGAGATGGCTAAATATCTCACAGAACTACAGATCTCAGAATTCCATAGCATTGAGCCATGGCAGTTAAAGTGGTGTCAAACTACATTAATTCTGCAGTGTAGATGCATCTTGTGCAAAGCCCAGACTCCAGTTGACATATATTTTCATACAGCTGCAGGCAGCCTGGTACAATTTCAGCATAATCACTTGTGTAGAAACAGTTGCTGGAACTTGCTTAAATGGGGACAATAAAATAGTCCATTGAGCAGGAAAGGAGGTTAAATTCAAAACCACTGAGAAACAAACTCTCCCAGTAGTGAGTTTCTCCTTAGATTATTTAAACTCTTCTTGCCTTAGCAACTGATCCAAATAT